CTAACAAGGAATTACTGGAATTGAAGGAGTCTATGGGAGCTATGAATCAAAAAGGGAAGGAAAAGGAACAAGTTAGAGCAAAATCTGGTAATGGCCGAGCTGGTTCAATGGATATTCAACAAGAAGTAAGGATCAGAGATGTTCATCAAGGTGCAACGTCTAATGATAACTTTTTTACTCGATACTCTAAACTTGAATTTCCTCGATTTCTGGTCATGATTTGAAGAATTGGTTGTATAAAGTCAATCAATTCTTCTCCATGGATGAGGTAGCATTTGATCAGAGGGTTAAGGTAGCTTCTATTCATTTTGATGGAGAAGTTATTGCTTGGCATAGGTCATATGTGAAGTCTAGGGATTCAGTGTTAGAACCCACTTGGACTGAATATGTACTGGCTTTAAATGAACGGTTTGGGGAAGGGTTTGAAGATCATATGGAGGCCTTAAAAAATTTGCAACAGTTTGGTAGTGTTAAGGACTATCAAGCAGAATTTGATAGGTTGTTGACTGGGGTTAATTTGTCTAACGAAAATTCAATTAGTTATTTTTTAGGTGGCCTTAAACCAGAATTGAACAAAGTTGTGAGAATTCAATCACCTAGAACATTGCTACAGGCCTACAGAATTGCAAGATTGCAGGGGGAAGTGCTTGAGGCTCAAGCTCAGTCTTGGGGTCTCAAGCCTATCATGAGAACCAACACTGTCACATAACCTAACCCTAATCATAATAAACTCCAGTATAACCAAAAGAACCCATTACCAAACTCCACTAACAAAAGCCTTTTGAATCTAACCTTACTAAGAATACTAGAATTCCTAGTAGGAGGTTGAGTGCAGCTGAAATGGATGAGAGGAGGTCGAAGGGATTATGTTTTTTCTGTGATGATAAGTATGCACCAGCCCACAAATGTAGGGGTAACAAACAATTATATTTAGTGGAGATGACAGAAGATGAAGAGGTGGAAGTAGAGGAACAAAAAGATATGACACAAGAGTTATTGGTGGATTCAAATAAGTTCATGGCCATATCTTTACAAGCATTTATAGGTGCAACAGGTTATCAGACTATTAGAGTAAAATACTATGAGAAGAGGCCTTTACAAGTATTGATAGATATTGGGAGTAATTACAATTTTATTGATGAGGAAGTAGCTTCAAGATTAAGCTGCAAAGCTTGTTCTATTCAAAAATAATCTATCAGTGTAGCTGATGGTTTGTAAGGACTTGCAGTGGTTATTACGAGGTACCACTTTCTCCTCTGACTTCTTACTCTTACCATTGGGAAATATAGATATTGTGTTGGGTGTGCAATGGTTGAATACCTTGGGAAGGATACTGTTTGATTTCAAAAAGAGAACCATTGAATTCATGTATCAAGGAAAGAAGCATGTTCTTATGGGTGCAAGCGATCAACTTAAGGCTGCTAAAGCTAAAAGTTTGTTAAGGAAAGAAGGAGCAGATGCACAATTCTTCATGATGTCCTTAGTAGCCATTAGGGATGAAGACACTTATTACCACAGTATACAAGCTACACCAAGAGCTGGCCCTTTGCCAGACTTAACAACTCTTATTAAACAATATGCATGTATCTTTGAATTACCTACTAATTTACCACCTCACAGGGGGTCTTATGATCACAGAATACCTCTTAAGGAAGCCTCTAATCCTGTTAATAAGAGACCTTACAGATATCTTGGAATCAAGAAGGATATAGTTGAAAAGTTGGTACATGAAATGCTAGATCAAGGGCTAATACAGCATAATACCAGTCCATACGCATCTCCTGTAGTGTTGGTTGGAAAGAAAGATGGTAATTAGAGGCTTTGTGTGGATTACAGAAGCCTGAATCAAATGACTATCAAAGATAAGTTCCCTATTCCCATGATTGAAGATTTACTTGATGAATTAAGTGGAGTACTTGATGAATTAAGTGGAGCAGAGATCTTTTCCAAAATAGATCTTAGAGCTGGTTACCATCAGCTAAGAATGGCTGAAGGAGACATCAACAAAACTGCATTCAAAACTCAAGAGGGACATTATGATTTTTTGGTAATGCCCTGTGGGCTAACCAATGCACTTTCTTCATTTCAAAGTTTAATGAATGTTGTTTTTAAACCATTATTAAGGAAGTCAGTATTGGTATTCTTTGATGATATTTTGATTTATAGTAAGAGTGTGACTGCTAATGTGGATCATGTGAAGGCTGTGTTTGAACTAATGAAGCATCATCAACTATATGCCAAGATGTCAAAGTGTGCATTTGGAGTGGCTAAGGTCAAATACCTTGGTCATTTTATCAGTGCTGAAGGAGTGTCTACAAACCCAAAGAAAATTGTTGCTGCACAGGAATGGACTATACCTGTAAATATCAAACAGCTGAGGGGATTCTTAGGTCTTGCGGGCTATTATAGAAGATTCATTCAAGGCTTTGGGACTATATACAGACCACTTCATGATCTATTGAATAAGGATAGCTTTGGGCGACTGATGAAGCTACCACTACTTTCAACAGCTTGAAGCAGGCCCTAATTTCTGCTCATGTGTTAGCTATGCCAGGTACTCTAAACCTTTTACAGTGGAGACAAATGCTAGTGTCAAGGGAATTGGAGCTGTATTGATGCAATAAGGGCATCATATTGCTTACATAAGCAAATCCCTAGCTCCCATGCATCAGATTCTATCAGTCTATGATAGAGAGTTACTTGCTCTTATCTTTGCTGTTACTAAGTGGTCGCATTACTTATTGGGCAATCATTTTGTTGTTAAGACAGATAAAAAAGCATTGAAGCATTTATTGGAGCAACAGGTGCATACTAATTTTCAAGTTGCTGGCATTTCCAAGTTAATGACATTTGACTTCATTATTGAGTATAAGAAGGGGTTTGAGAACAAGGCTGCAGATGCATTATCAAGAAAACCAGATGCTGAACTTTTAGCTATTTCTTTACTCATTCCTAATGATTCCCTATATGCACAGATTAAGTCATCATGAAAAAATGATCCAATTATGCAGGAGTTAATAGCTAAACTACAAGTTCAACCTTACAAAGCCTACACTTGGTTTAACAACCAACTTAGGTGGAAGAGCAAATTAGTTGTGGGCAATGATCATCAGTTGAGGGAAAATATCATTACAGTGTGGCATATTACTACTCAGGGAGGTCATTCTGGTATGGATGCTACTATTAAGAGGTTACAATCTTTATTTCACTAGAAATCTCTTATAGCAGATGTTAGAGACTTTATCAACAAGTATGATGTCTGTCAAAGACATAAATATGATGTTGTTGCTTCACCTAGCTTATTACAGCCCTTACCAATCCCTATAGGTGTTTGGACCGATATTTGTTTAGATTTTATTGAAGGTCTTCCAAAGTCACATGGCAAAGAGGTTATTCTGGTAGTAATAGACAGATTGACTAAATCTAGGCACTTTTTGAGTTTGCAACACCCTTACACTACTCAAACTGTGGCCCAAAGCTTCCTAGATCAGATCTTCAAGCTACATGGTATGCCTCTTACTATGACCAGTGATAGAGATCCAGTTTTCTTGAGTTCCTTTTGGCAAGAACTTTTTTCTCTTCAAGGAGTACAATTATAGAGGTCCACAACATACCATCCACAGACAGATGGTCAATCAGAAGTGTTGAACAAAACCTTAGAAGCTTATCTGAGATGTTTCTGCTCAGATAGTCCTAAGGATTGGTCCAAGTATCTGCCCTTAACAGAGTGGTGGTATAACACCACCTATTATTCCACTATCAAATGTACTCCTTATGAAGCCTTGTATGGCCAAAAATCTCCCATACACCTTCCCTATCTGCGTGGTGATACAGATGTGGAAATGGTTGATAGGTCTTTGGAAGCAAAGGAAGCCATAATTCAGTTGTTGAAATTCCATTTAGCTAGAGCTCAACAAAGGATGAAAGATACTGCCAACCAACATAGGTCTGAAAGATCGTTTGAAGTAGGAGATTGGGTGTATCTTAAGCTACAGCCTTATAGACAAATTTTAGTAGCTAGCAGACCATTCAATAAACTAGCTGCTAAGTATTATGGGCCTTATCTTATTGCAGCAAAGATTGGTTTAGTAGCCTACAAATTACTCATGCCTGCTGATGTCCTTATTCATCTAACTTTCCATGTATCTCAGTTAAAAAAGTGTCATGAAGTACCTACTATCATCAATTATCCTCATATACTTCACTTGTCTAGCCCTTTTTGTCCTCAACCAGAATCTATACTAGAAAGGAGGTTGGTCAAACATGGTAATAAGGTTGTATGTCAAGTTAGAATCAAGTGGACAGGACTTGATGCTGACTCTGCTACTTGGGAGTATCTGCAGGAGCTTCAGACAAAGTTCCCTTCTTTTAATCCTTGAGGCCAAGGATTCTCTTTAGGGGAGGATATTGATACAAGTTAAAGGAATCGAGCAGTAGAAGAAGAAGCTAAGCAGTTAAAGTTGTAACAGAAATCTGAGCTGGCAGCTGATGTGGCAAAGTTAGTTACGACAGTTATAGTTAGTTAGAAGTTAGTTTACAAGTTGTACTTCTAGAATCTTCAGCTGAGCATATATAGTTGAATCAATTGTAATTGATTGATACTTTTGGAAGTTAATACAATCTATTCTCCCTAAATTTTCTTCCTTGAGCTATATTCTCTCATCTACCTGACATAGCCATCACCTTCTTCGAGCTTTAAGCTCCTAGATTGACTATTTTCCCCTGCATTCTGTTACATTGTATCATGATGTTTCCGGTGAACTTTTATTTTTAACAATTCCTGTTAAAGTTAATAGACAAAGTTTATTAAATATTTGGCGGAGCAAACATGAAGGACCAAAATTGCTTAGAAGATATTTAAGGGACTACTTTAAACCTAACCCACACTTAAGGGACCGTTTTTGTCATTTTATCCTAGTAAATCACAACGGTCCGTTATAAATAGAAGATTGAGAGGTCATGTATAATTTTCTTTTCCAAAGGGATCATATGTAATTTCATTTTTTCCGAAGTTGATATGCAATTTGATCACAAGAAAATGACAAAGAAAAGTTGACAGCAGCTGCAAGAATAGGAAAATTCTAATTCGGAGGCTAAGCGTTGTTTAAAAGGCAGCACAATCAAAGCACAAATTCATATTACAATCAAATTTCCACTTTCACTATTCGGTTTTTCTGTAAGGATTCTAAGGGAGAAAATGAATTGGATTCAACGCAAAATCTATCTCTACAATGTCACTTTTGGTCTTTACATGCTCGACTGGTGGGAACGTTGCCTCTTCAGTATCCTTTTTAATTTTTTTAGTCACTTGCGTAATAGATCTGATGTTGCTTTAATCTATATGAATTCCAATTTATTTTGCTGATCTGTAATCTGCTAATTGTTAAATGATATATAGAGAGAGATCAGATTTTGGTTGGATCTGGAGTTCTTAACGCGGTTAGATATTTTGGTGCTTGTGTTGTTGTGGTTTATGTGTTACAACGGGTTTCGTTATGCTTCCGAGCTTTTCAACAGGTATGTGTTTCATTCTATGTTACAATCTCAAAAAAAGTAAAGTTTTATCCTAAATTTTTGAAGTTGGTTTAGTTTTTCAGCTACTATAAGAAATGATAAAATATCAAAGGTCTCAAGAAATACAAGAATGAAATCTAGGACCTAAATGTTTATTTTCTTAAATAATGGTGGTGTCCGTGTAGCTTGCACGCACCCAAACTATTGCATCCGGTACCCAGGGACGAAGCTATGTATAGCTAAGGGTGGTCAACTAAACACCCTTCACCGAAAAATTATACTATGTATAGGGTAAAATATTACTTGTTATTGATTAAAAAATAGATTTTGAACACTCTTGCATAGCCCACTAGCAAAGAATGTTCGAAATATTGAATTTCCTGACTTCGTCACCATGGGTATCTGCTTACCTCTCATGGTACGAGGTAACTCCACCCACCAATATCTAGGACCTTCATGTTACTATCTAAAAGTGTGTGGATGGAAATAGGATGTGGAAAGGAGCAGCAATGGGATTAGTATGTAAATACACTAACATCACTAGAGCAAACTGATTGTCAGGGTTTGCAGTTAGCAAAACTAGATAATAATGAACTTGCGTAATGATATTCATTTATGCCATGGTGCACTGAACTTGCATAGTGATATTTAGATGAGCCTAGCATATTCAATACAGTTGCATTTCAATGAATTTAGTGGAAGAATTTGGCTATAATTGTATGAATATGAGTTTCAACTATTAACTATTAGCGGATTTTGATGGTCCCCTAGGATAAGAAAGGGTATTTGACAAATTTGTTTCATATCGAGATTAACTGGAGATCTGGACAAATAAACCATGTCATCAGTCAACCTAACAAGCCATATTTTCTTAACATGGTATACCCATCAAGTCATTCGACTTGTTATTTCGTACCTTTGGAGAATTAGATAAGAAATGGACCCTGGCGGTAACTTAACCCTAAAAGCTAGCTTATGAGTAGTGGCAGAACTAGAAATTTTATTAAGGGGTGTCAAAATACAAAAAAGTAAATACACGAAGAAAATAAAGGAAGTCAACATATAATATATATACCATAATAATAATTTTTTGACCTAGTTAAACAATGTAATTTTCCGGCGAAAGGATGTCAATTGACACCTCTTAGCATAAGGTGGGGTGAGGATTGACCAAGACCATATAAGGAGACCAAGTATCAACACAAATGGGTACTCTTTAACATTATTGCAAAAATGTAGTTTTCCTGTTTTGATCACATAACTGTGAATCAGGCGGCGTAAGGCCAAGTTTTAGTGTAACAACTATTTTGGCATTGATCAGATGAAAAATAGTTCTCTCGAAAGTTCTGACTCCTGATAGCTTACCATCTCTGGCAGCAGAAAAGAGAAAGTAACATCCTTGGAAGGTTAATATAACTGGAATATATATGAATTAGTCAAATTTAATTTGACTGGAAAAATGTTTAAGCCAGAGTAACAAAATCATGACATCCAAATGCACCAGTTTCAGGCCAAGAACACTCCATTTTGGCAACCAGTTTCTTATTTTCTTCAAATTTATGCCATTTCTCAGTTTGCCACCATTGTCCTGTATAAGCTACACCAAGTGCTCATATTTTTCTTTTCACTTGATTTAATTGTTGATATTTAAGATTGATACAAGTTATTCTGTAGTACTTTGCGTTAATAGATACATGTTATTTTTTGTATAACCTGTCATAAGGGGCCTAACTTCCTTAAACATATTCCCTTTGCTCGGACACGAGTGCGGTTGTCTGACACGTGTGCGGATCTAGAGGTCGGATCCTTCGAGATTTAAATTCTAAGATTCGAGGATATGGATCCTAGTATGTATACGGGTGCGCGGATACGGCTAAAAATAATTCACAAAAATAAAAATATAAAATATCTCTAAATTATGACATTTACATTGCTTTTGGTTCTGGTTTTGGGAATCAAATTGTATCTCGTCTTGATTTTTTCCGTTAGTTGTGGTGAAAGTACCCAAAATTGTTTGACCAGCCATACCCACACTCATACTAGTGGTGCAGCACCTAAATTGCTGTGCAACATAGATTCCCCAAGGGATAAGGGTTGTTTTTGGAACTCCGATTGCAAAGTAAATACCTTTTGATTGTTTGAACTAAGTCATTAAAGAAAGAAATGAGGAGGAAATTGGGGATTTAAAGCTAACAGGTGAGCCTGGAAACGGGGTTGAAGAAGAAAAATAACTGAAGCAGCTGCATCCTTGGTAGTCTAGTGAACAGAAAAAAGGGAAGCCCCTTTTTATTAATACAGTATAGGTTGGTTGAGGAAAACTCCAAAACTAAGGTTCCAAAAAGCTTACCTTATATAATAGAAAAGTTTAAGAAAGGGGCACCCCTACTATACCCCTAAATTACAAGCTAGCGCACAACGGCTGAAAAGCCGTTGTTGTTTGCTGCTTGCAAGCTCGAAAATCTATTTCAATTCTGATTGATTAGCTTCTTCCGTAGCTTGCAAAGTTACAGGCAGTGACAACTGGTTTGAAGAACAACGTAAGTTTTCAGACTTGTTCTGTCTGGGCTGTTGCAACCCCTGTTATTGAGCTGAGTCTTAATTTGCTTTGAATTGTCAGTCCATAAAGAAGTTGTGAGAATGCACGGGAGAAAATATTATTGATTAATATTAACAATGATACAATGAGCCCTATTTATATAATACATGTCCTACTCCTAATACATATGGGATTAGGGTTATTTACTACTATTTAACTATCAAACTAACACTCCCCCTCAAGCTGGTGCATATAAATCATATGTACCGAGCTTGTTACATATATAACTAATACGAGGACCAGTGAGGGACTTGATGAAAATATTAGCAAGCTGATCATTCGACTTCACAAATTTTGTAGCAATATCTCCCGAGAGTATCTTTTCTCTAACAAAGTGACAGTCAATCTCGATGTGTTTAGTTCTCTCATGGAAAACTGGATTTGACGCAATATGAAGAGCAACTTGATTATCACACACAAGTCCCATCTGATTAATCTCACCAAATTTCAACTCCTTGAGCAACTGTTTTATCCAAATTAGCTCACATGTGACCATAGCCATTGCTCAATATTCTGCTTCTGCACTAGACCGAGCAACCGCATTCTGTTTCTTGCTCTTCCAAGATACCAAATTTCCTCCTACTAAGACACAATATCCAGACGTAAAACGTCTATCAGAAGGTGATCCTGTCCAATCAGCATCTGAGCATCCAACGATCTGCTCATGGCCTCGATCCTCAAACAATAAGCCTTTGCCTGGAGCTGATTTTATATACTGAAGAATGCGGACAACTGCATCCCAGTGACTATCACAGGGAAAATCCATAAACTGACTCACAACACTCACAGGAAAGGAAATATCAGGTCTAGTCACTGTGAGGTAATTTAATTTACCAACCAACCGGCTATATCTTGCAGGATCGCTAAGAGGCTCCCCCTGTCCTGGCAGAAGTTTAGAATTCGTATCCATCGGAGTGTCAACAGGTCTACAACCTGTCATTCTTGTCTCCTCAAGAATATCCAAGGCATATTTCCGTTGTGAGATCACAATACCTAAGCTAGAGTGAGCGACCTCAATACCCAGAAAATACTTTAATCTGCCCAGATCCTTAGTCTGAAAGTGTTGAAAGAGATGTTGCTTCAACTTACTAATACCATCCTGATCATTGTCGGTAATAACAGTATCGTCAACATAAACGACCAGATAAATACAGAGATTTGAAGCAAAATGTCGATAAAATACACAGTGATCAGCTTCACTACGAGTCATGCCGAACTCCTGTATAACTGTGCTGAACTTACCAAACCAGGCTCGAGGAGACTGCTTTAGACCATAGAGGGACCGGTGGAACCGACATACAAGGCCACTAGACTCCCCCCGAGCAACAAAACCGGGTGGTTGCTCCATATAAACCTCATCCTCAAGGTCACCGTGAAGAAAAGCATTCTTAATGTCCAACTGATAGAGAGGCCAACAGCAGCCATGGATAGAAAAAGGCGGACTGATGCAATTTTAGCCACGAGAGAGAAAGTATCACTGTTATCGAGTCCAAATATCTGAGTATATCCTTTGGCAACAAGACGAGCCTTAAGTCGATCAACCTGGCCATCTGGACCAACTTTGACTGCATACACCCAACGATAGCCAACAGTCGATTTACCCGAAGGAACAGGAACAAGCTCCCAAGTACCACTCGTATGTAAAGCAGGCATCTCGTTAATCATAGCCTGTCGCCATCCGGGATGAGACAGTGTTTCACCTATAGACTTAGGGATGGAAACAGAGGACAAATATGACACAAATGCACAATGGGATGATGAGAGACGATGGTAACTTAAACCGATATAATGAGAATTAGGATTAAGTGTGGGCCGTATACCTTTTCGTAGTGCAATCGGTTGATTAAGAGGAGACAAGTCCGCAATATTAGTAGGGTCAGGTGCAAGACGTGAATCAGCTGGGCCTGATGCTGGGGCGGACGACGATGATAAGTCAGGAGTGGAGCTGTAGAAGGTTGAACTGGACTAGGTGGTGGCACTGGAGCTATAGTTGGTGGAGCTGGACTAGGTGGTGTCATTGGAGCTATAGTTGGTGAAACTGGACTAGGTGGTTGCACTGGGGCTATAGTTGGTGGAACTAGACTAGGTGGTAGCACTGAAGCTATATGTGGTGGAGCTGCAACTGGAACTGTAGGCGGTGGAGCTATGGAGGAAGATGAATGGGAGATAGAGACTGAATCTCCAAAAGAAGAAACGGGTAGCACCTCAGAAATATCTAAGTGATTAACTGGACCTGTGAAGTATGATTGGGTTTCAAAGAAGGTAACATCAACATACATAAGAAATCGCTGAAGGTAATAACATCGATATCCCTTTTGCGTTCTTGAGTAACCCAGAAATATGCACTTAAGAGCACGAGGAGCTAACTTATCTTTTCCTGGAGCAAGGTCATGAACAAAGCATGTACTCCCAAAGACACGGGGTGGAAGAGAGAACAAAGGTAAATGGGAAAACAGGACAGAGAATGAAACTTGATTTTGGATAGCTGAAGATGGCATACGATTAATAAGATAACAAGATGTAGGAACTGCATCCCCCAAAAATGCAGCGGAACATGAGATTGTATGAGTAGGGTACGAGCAGTTTCAATAAGATGTCT